AATTTAGTCTTTCATGTAAAAATTGTTTATAAACTTTCTTTTGATAAATGGTGAAAAATATATTTTTGTTTGATTTATTTGCATTTTTATGGCTTTTGATGAGAGATGGACCTCATTGCTATTGTAATTTTATAATTTTTAACAATGCATAACAATGGTAGCCATCCCTTCATTCTTTATTATTCTTTTTCATATTGTCATTTATCCATATGTTTATATTGCTACAATATTAAAAATTTCCTTCACTTTTCTCAATCTTTGTATGTATCTAGCATTTGCATCCACGATTCAAAATAATTAAAAATTGAATTTATTATTTTTAAGATTTTAATACTGTATTTTGCAAGTGAATGTTACTCACAATGATCAAAATATTTACTGCATTTTAAAATATATACAATATTAAAATTATGCAAAGAGAAAAATACATACAAAATGATTAATATATTTCATTTTTAAAAATGACATTAACCGTTATTCTGCAACAGTTTGGATGAGTAAATGAAACTAATTGGTTCCTCTCATCCAAACTGCTGCTTTATGCTTTAGGTTATAATTGATTATTTTCAACTGTACATTGTTACATATAAACAGGAATTTATTTGTAATTGTGCACAAATTTCGTATCTTGCAATTTTTAATTGTATTTTATTTTTTGGAATGTTATTCGTCATCAATATCCCTTCTTCGATATGTCAACAACTGGAATAAAAAAAAAAATTGCAATTTTAAAAAGCCGTTGCAAGCAATTTTAAACAGGCATTTATTTACTAGAAAGAGCGTTTATATTGATTTAAAACGTATAATTCTTCAGACAAGACAAATAATTATTAATCTTTCTCTTAACGTTGACGTTAATTCTATCTGTTGCTCTCAGGGTGAGGTCCGCTGGTTGAGCAGTAATTGAAGTCATAAAGTGAACCTAATAAGCGATTTCCTCATTACGACTCTACTCATCGGCATGGCTAACTGACCTCCACACTCATAAACACTCCACACAGTTGTATTTATCAAGCAGTTTCTGTTTATTTCCGAATTAGTCTTTTCATTATTTGCTATTGTTTCCAAGAGAGAGGATGCATTAAAATCTGTAAGGCTTTAATTTGGATATTTTGCATAGCACTCAATGCATTCATTACATTTTGTTAATATATGTACAAAATTAAAATTATCATGTTAATTTGATATAACTATGCATTGAAATGCTTTGCAAATTATCCACAAAATGTCATATGTGGAAACTCTTAACTGATTGAATTTAAATTTTCGCATGATTAAGAGAAAAAGTGTTTGAAAATTTTATCATTTTAATTTTTGATGTTATAATGATATGAGCATATAGATAAATGAAAATACAGAATATAATAATAAAGAATAAAAGAATTATAGATGTTCACCATTAAATGCGCATTTTTAAAAATGAAGGAAAAACAATTGATGTTCTTGGTCATTAGCTAAGATTATTAGAAAAGAACATCAATTGAGGGAAATATCTATAGCAAAAGAGGAAGAGAGTGCACCCATTTTTGGATAAGACAGATAAAAGGATGGACAAATTATAAATATCATCATCTCATAGAAATAGAAGAAAGAAGAGAAAAATGAAATTGCTAGTAAAAAGAAAAATATCGTGAAATAAGATAATGTTTGACAGACTAATGGATGGATTCTGTTATTTTTGTGCTACCATCTGTTGTCATGTTCATCAACTATTAAAAACTATCTTTTTATATTAAAAATAATTAAATTTATTAATTATTGTTTATAATTATTATAAATATTATTAATAAAAGTTGTAATTACATTTTACATTATTATTATTATTGCATTGAGGGCAGAAGTAGCCATCGACGTTTTAAATGATTGATATATCATTCAGTACATTGCAAAAAATGTTTTTGGAAATGTTCACTTAACTGCCATCATACAGCACTTGTTTTACTTGAAGGAGGAGAAAAGGACTAGATAAAATTAACAATATCGAGTATATATTATTTAACCAAGTTACTATTTAATTGCACACATCTATTTGGAAATTACAGAGTTAAAGTTTTTAAATATCGACATATATTACATACATAAACACCGTAGGGAAAATAATGTGCTGCATTTAAAAATAGGTTAATATCGTTATATGTTGAACTAAACGTACTACTGTATAACAAAATATTGTATATTAATTCATATAATCAAATTAAGCTTATATACATAAGTTAATACTGCTAAAATTCAGTTAATCAAATAGGTTATTTGGTTCATTCATCATTTTCATATTATTCATTTTGTCAAAACACTTTTAAGATATGTGGAATTTTATATCTTATATGTTTAGTCCATCGATAGCCTTTCCAATTATAAATACATGGGATAGATAATTAACTACCAGAATTTTGTATTTTCTGTAAGTTATTTGTTTACCATATACAAAAATTAATATGTACTGTATCTGACACAAACTCATTTCAATGCTTTTCAATTACTGCGTGATTATAAAGTTTACAGTAATAAAGTGACTGAAGATCTGTAAATATTAGCAGTTAATTCTTTACATATATTAGTGTACATATTTTAGACTTAAATTTTGATATTTCATACATAAAAATAGTACTTTCTGTATTGAATTATTTTGTGATAAGTTTTTTTATTTGTATTAGATTAGATTAGATTGGATTGATGGTATAAAGCAATACAACATATGGGCGATCAGCCAAAAGCTGGTGCCTCTCGGGAGGACTTTTATGGAAAGCTGGCCTCTAGGTGTTAATAACCTTACTACATAGACCTTTAAAAGTCGTATTTGTTTTTTCTTTTTTTTATAATTTTCGTTACTATTTAATTTCTATAACATTCAAATTCCTTTGAAAAAGAAATACGTCGGAAAGGAACTCAAATGATACAGAAATTCAACGTCAAGGAAAATGTAGCAGTGGCGTTCCGAGAATGGAATAAGGGGACTAGGCTAGCCCCCTAAATTCTCGAAGTACAGTCTGAATATTATTTTTAATGTATTTGTATTTTTTCGTGTATTTTTCCCATCCTTTTTTCACCTCCTATTCACAATTCCTCCTCCTATATCATATTTTTCACCTTTATTCTGAGTTCAACTCTTTCACGAACCAACATGAACACCCATCAGGGCTCCTTTAGTTGACTCTTCGACAGGACTAGCTTGCAGACACGTGTTCCTGTCATACTGTTGTGTTTTGTGCGCGTCCAGGCAGTTCTGTAATAAGAGCTTTTGTTTCCTGTGCTTATTGAAAACAACATTGCATTAGTGATTATCATAAAACATTTAAAAGTTTTCATCTAAAGTGTGAATCTACTTAAAAGACGGTATACGTGATTAGAAAGCTTTGAATTTAACATGGAAGGGAAGTCGTTAGGAGAAGCGAGTCCCTCGCAGCGAAACGTAACGTAGTTTGAATCTGTGAATGATGCAACAGATATAGGTGAATCGTCACAGCAGAGTGAAGACAACGATTTCTGTGCTGTATTCTGGATCGCCTGCTTAAAACGTCGTTTGGATCCCCAAGCTTCCAAGAAAAAAATTATCTATCAACGAATTGCTTAATTTTCTCAGCAACATTTAAAACTGCATGTGATGTCATCTGTTACGATATTTTATTAAAAACTTTTTATATTTTTAATTATTATAAAATGGCAAAACGCTTAGTTTTTAGGTTAGAGATGGTTTTATAAAAAAATTGTAAATGATAATAATGAATAAAATCGTCATTAAGTCCTACCTACTCGAGATATGACACACGACCCCTCTTTATTCCCCCATCCCGTCGACCTTTAACTGCCAAAATTTAATAGCATCAATCCCCCCAAATACACGAACCTCCATGCAAAATTTCAGAAAATTTCGACAAAATCACGGGAGTTATTATTAAGCTTCAATAAAATCTTACCCCCCCCCCACATACAGAAAAAAACCCCGAGTTTTTTACATTTCTCGACGTTCCAAGGTCCCTTGAATCCAAAAAGATAAAAATCTTGGAGAGGAGAGTTCATTTTTTGACCGATAAACACAATTTTCCTCTGTTATATATAATAAAGCCGAAAAAATAAAATTAATGTGGAATAAAATGAGTTTTTTCCGAATATTTAAATAATAATTATTACAATGTATAAAAATGGGGTATCTCACATCTGATCCCTTTTGAAAATTGTCGTTGCACGCCGCTGAAAGGTAAGTAAATACTCCGATAAGCTTCGAATATAAAGGCATGGATAATAAGGTTGAAGGGTGATGCAATTGAGATTTTTTTTTAAAACTCTTTTCGCCCTGTGAGGCTTTAATAGGGCCCCTTTAAGCAAGCTCATTCTAGGTTCGGCCAGGCCCACAATGGGGCGACTGGGTGGTGAGGGACGGGGCCCAACATATCCGGACGGATAACCCCCGAAAAATCCCTGGAGATTTATCCACCCGTCCGAATTCAAACCCGGGTCCCCCAAAGTGGTAGGCTGCCACCTTGTCCGTTAGACAATTGAGATGTCAGCCTACCGCTATGAGAGGTCCGAGATCTAATTTACAATCGAAAACCCAAGAAATTTTTCATGGGGCAGCCCGTCTGGATATGCTAGACTTCGTCTCTCATGAACAACCCCATTGTGGACCTGGCCGAACCCAACTTGAATATGATTAAAAGATCCTCTTGGTGGCCGTAGGGTGGAATGAATCAAAAATGAAAAAAGGAGTGGATAATAAAGTTACAAACAAAAACGCAAAAATCTACCTACAGTATAGAAGTGGCTGATAAACAGGAAAGGCAGATTTAAAATATATATGTAATATGTATTGTATTAAAATGTAAAATATTAGTGAGTCCGCCAGGTGGCGATCGTTGTGATGCATCACGGGAACGGCACCTGAGCGCTCACTTTGGTTGGAACCTTTTCACAATAAACATAACATGGCGCAGTCGACAAACGCTTANGGGGGCGACATTCATAATCGTCTGCTTCGAAGTTCGAATGTAGAAATTTAGTGTTTTTGAGTTTATTCATTTATCTTTCGAGTGTATTATTCATTTTAAATCTTCAGTCTACTGAAATTAAAGTTTACCTTTGAAGCTTCATGTTTGAAGACTGCAGTTTTTGCTAGAAGCTTCAATAAAGCACAAGTTTCTTTCATCAGTGAGAAAAACTTGAGTTGATATTAACTTCCTACTTCTTTCTTTTTGTTCGTACTATGAATAGTTATGGAGCCATATTCTGGTCACTTACCTCTCGTCTCTTCTTTCAGAAACGAATGACGTCAAAACGAGAGACGAATTTCGTCTCTCAGAGACAGGTGGTCACTTTTAACGATCTCGTCTTTATTGATGACGTCATGATTCTACTAGGTTGATTATACTGTATATGTTTGGATTATCTGCGCGCGCAACATATCACAGAATTTTAACCAATGAAATTGTAAGGTTTCCGAAAATGCAGAATAAGAACACATAGAGCACGTGGTACGACACGAGGTAACCAAAATGTCTCGAGTAACGTTATCTTCGGAATAAATGGAAGTTTTGGTAATCGAGCTTCAAAAGCGTCCGCATTTAATTGAGGGAAAATTGGATGGAAATATTTCAAAAAATACTTTGCGAGACGGATGGCTAGAAATAAGAGGTAAAATCAACAGTATAGCCAATGATCGAAGTGGAATCATTAAAAAAAAAAAAAAAAATGAAGTGGCGTTCCCGAATTAAATGTAAAGCGGCCGCTCTAAGAAAAGACTTCCGAGATTAGTTTTTATGTACACATCTTGTAGCGCTACTTTTGTAATTTATCTTACGATACAAAACCAGGCTACATATAAAAACTTAATCTTTAATTTCTTATGTATTGTACATGAGATATGATGCTACACTACTGGATGAACATAGAATCGAGAACACGTGCGTACAGAGCGAGGTTCGAATTCAAAGCGTGAGATCATAGTGTCAGGTTGCCAGGTCTGTTAAGTTCAGAGTTCCTACTGGTGGCGACTTTTGTATTTATGGCCAAAGCTGTTGCCACACATCTGTTCATAAATTTATTTCAATAATGAGTGTGTACGTCTAAAAGAGTAGAATTATCTGTGTTCAACCTAGTGCTGTCATCTTGTATGGGTGTAAAATGTGGGCATGGCAGAAGAAAATTGAAAGTGGAATGAAAGCTGTTCCTGCATGCAGCTTGTGCCAAATGCTCATGGATAGGATAAGGAATGAAAGGATTTATGAGTTGTGTGGAATGCAAAAGCAAGTGAGTGAGCGGGCACAAGGGATGTTGCTAAGGTGGTTGGGATGTGTGGAGCACATGAGCAATGAACGACTGTTAAAGTGAGTCTGTGTTGGTGAGATTTGTGGCAAGCGGTCTAGGGGCTGCCTGCTAAAGAGATGGACAGATGGTGTGTGAGATGCTTCAATTGCAAAGAATATTGTGAGTATGCATGGATGAAGTCAGCATAAATGTGTATGAAAGGCCTCAATGAGTATGGAAGAAGCGAGAGAAATATGTTTGGATCAAGCAGTGTGGAGGCAGCTCATTCACTGTCATTCTGAAAGGGAAAAGGCATGAATGTATGTATGTATGAATATGACATTAATAATTTTATAGGATCTCAATTCTTATATTAAAACTAATATGTAATTTTACTTTGAATTAGATTCTATAAAATATTGATGCAAAAAATGCTTTAGTGACATTACATCATTATTTTTAAAATTTTTAACAAATTATCCATCAAATTGCTTTTATATTAAAAAAAAGAGATCAAATCATATGGTCAATTTTACTAGAACTTCAAAAGGATAGCTCTCACAATGTCAATATGTCAACAAACTATAAATAAACTTTTATGTTTGGTAACCTTATCTTTATAAAAGTAACCTGATAAACTTTATATTTTTCAGTTGTTTTGTAGTTATGTTTTTTACATGAATTATGAGTAATGCAATAAATCATTCTGTTTCAAATCTTATCTAATGAGGGAGCTAAGGACTAGGTTAATTTATATGTAGATATACTGTACATGTATGGTATGTATATAAACAACAACGCCACAAACCTGATATTTGATTAAATTCTAAATTAATAATTAGATACGGCTTAACGGTTGTCTCTAGATCAATTACTTTATATCTAATTATAACTTAATCTTATTATAGCCCTATATATATACATAGGGCTATAATATATATATAGGGCTATAATAAGACTAAGTTGATAATTATAATGATAAGTTGATATATATATATATAAGATGGAAGACAGAAATATTTCATATCTGACATATTTTTATTTCTTTATCAATCAAAAAGATTCTGTTTTTAGTTTCTGGATACGAGTTCACTGAGTTCAGCGTTAATAAAGTTCCTTTAGTATTAACACAAGCACTTTCGACGGGTGTATAACAGTTGTCTTCATGTGAAATGAACAAATTTTAACGAAACAAACGTGCAGAATGTTCCAAAGGAACAGAATTTTAAAATTCAAACCAGGTGTTCGGAAATTCCGTTAAGAACATGCAAATAGTTTTTGATATGTTTGAATCTTTAAATTTTATGATGCTAGCGGCACGTGCATGGAAATGATACGCATTGGCGATATGATGTTACGATATTTCATTTTTTAGACGCCGATACAAGGTAATCCACACCCTGGGTAGATTGAGTGAGAAGCGCTTCCCAGATGAACAAGCCTTCGATTGTTGCAGCATTTAATTATGTACTCGTCAAAAGTGCTTGTGTTAATACTAAAGGAACTTTATTAACGCTGAACTCAGTGAATTTGTATCCAGAAACTATATAAAGCTTGGCATGAGTTTTTAAATTTAGATTCTTTTTTATTTTTGTTTTGTAAAATGATAATATAAATTGTCTAGCTCAGTGATGAACAACCTTTCTTGGATGTAAACTGCAAGTAAACTTCACGGGTTTCTGGTAGTTCACTTGCAATTTTTTCTTAGAATTCCAGGTTTTAAGCTTTTGAGTATATAAATTTTTTCTATTTATTGAAAAGGATTTTATAGGTTTTATCATATTAGGCTAAATATGTAAAATTTGCTTGTTTTCAAACTGAAATTTGAATAATTATTGTTCAAGAACTTGTTTTTATACTACTATTTCTAAAATAATAATAATTAGTTTTACTCTGTTATAAAATTTATTTTTAAAGTAACATGATTTTATTATGTAAGATTTAAAAACTTTTAAAATTCTTTAGCAGTTTGGAATAATTAATATTAAATCATAGAAAATTAAGTTCTACTTTATTTTTTCTTTTTAGTGTTCTGAAGGATGTAATCATTGGAATAAATCAATCAATTCATCTTGCAAGGAAGTGTGTGTAAGTATGTCTTTCACTCATTAAACCTTCATTAGTTGGAGTATGAATGAGGCCACTTTTCCCTTTTTTCAGTGTTTTTAAAAAATTTGATATTCTCACATAAACACTTCATTTAATGAGTCTAATACCAACATATATGCCAAAGACATTATACGTATCTTATTATGAAGGACTAAAGCAAATCAGAATGACATGATCTCAGACTTGTTCAATGGGAAAGTACCACTATTGATATTTTTATATATGTATGTACCACTATTGATATTTTTATATATGTATGAAAATTTTAGCTTAAATATGATAATTTTAAATGGCAGATGAGATAAATTGTGTCTTTAAGTCTGGCAACGTTAGTGCCATCATATTGGTGGTTAAATCAGTTATGGCTGATTCATCAGTGGAAAGAAATGAGTTTAGTTCACTTTTACAGTTAGACTAAATTATCGAGCAGTGCTATAGTTTCTCTGCCCAAAAAGAAGAAACATCTGATTCATCATTTAAGAATATGATATGAACATTTTTTAAAAACAAATGAGATGGTAATTTGAGACTTATGGAATTTTACAAAAATTTTTAATCTTTCTAAACTAGTAAGACTGATGATGATTTTGCCATACAGCATTGTAGGGCTTCCCCTGCATTGCTTAGTGGCAAAAGGAAAAGATATTCAGCATGATAAGAAAACTTCCGCACTCTTGTGAGATAGGAACTTCCACTCATCCATATCAGAACCAGAAAACACTGTCTTTAGTAATTGCAGTGAAAGTCAATAAAATAACTGATAGCAATTGTCTTAAGTACACTGTAACAAAAGAAATTGTTAACAAAGTAAAACATTGCACAAAGGCATATAACGGGAGGCACTTATCAGGCAATAACAAGACTCATGCACATCAACATGGTACATATAATACAGACTAAGGATTGTATACCGGTTTACCAATTTACCGGTTAACCGATAAATTGACAAAAAAATATTCGATAAACTTACCGGTAAATTTTTGAAATTTATCGGTAATTCAGTAAATGAAAAATCCATACCAGAAATTTTTATATAGAAAATATTGTGTTTATAGATATTTAAAAGGGCTAAAGGGACATTGAAGATTAAAAAAACAGGTAAAGTGTAAGCAACAATATACCTAATTATTAATTTTATGAGAGATATTTTTCGTTAAATTTTAATTTAAACTTTGTTGGGTTTGAGAGGCTATGTAAATCGTACAGATTACAGATACAGATCATCAAAATTAGGAGATAAGACTATAAATAAGTTATTTTTTAAAAACTGATAATCAATAAAATGGTATTAGGTACTATATATCATTTCTGTTGTATTTTTATTTTCCTGTATTATTTTATTTGTTTCTAAAAGTTATTATTATAGCTTGTTTAGAACAGTGTTTCTCAACCTCTAAACGAATCGTCGCCCCCTTAAACGTAGTATCGCCTCCTTCAATAAAACCGTTACGTAGTATTGCCCCCTTCACTACAAAATTCCGATGCCGAGGGCCAAGGCTAATGCCAAATTCGTACTGCATTGAATAGACTAGTGACTAGTATAATGTTATTTGTTTAATTATTGTACGATATAACGAATAAAATATCTAATTATTCTTAATATAATGTTTTACTATATCGCCCAGAAAATTGTTTTTCGCCCNCCCACATAGGGGCGATATCGCCCCCGTTGAGAAACACTGGTTTAGAATAACACTTTAATTCTTATATTTTTTATATTCTATATCTTTGAAATAAAAAATGTGAAATGGAAATCAAAATGACTTATAATTTTTATCACCTTAATTTTATTTTTCAGGAAAAAATTTACTGGTAATTTACCGGAAAACCGGTATTTTAATTTTCATTTACCGAATTACCGGTAAATGAAAAAGTCGGTAAATTTACAATCCCTAATACAGACATGGGCAAATGCAGCTCCAAGAGCCACATGTGGCTCTTGCTGAAAGTGTTAATTTCTGTTTTTTTATTATTATGTTTACAATTTTATTTCCACAATTTTGTGAAAATATGGTTATTAAAAAAATTCAATATTTGTTTTATATTATATTTATATTATGTAATAAAATCGTGGTACAGAACTGCGGTACAGAATAAAAAAGTACAGAGCTGCAGCTCCCACGCATTTTGCAAAACCTACATTTTGGCTCCCACTGAACTTTTGCTTGCCCACCCCTGATATAATAAATCTAGGCATACATTTATGATGTGTCCTGTAAAATACTTGACCTTTTTTAAATTGTGATGTTAAAGACTATAAAGCTATTGCCATTCTCTTCATAGCATTTATGGCAATAACGTTATAAGCTATATGCAAAGATAAAATTAAATTTTATTTATTAAAGGTATTTAATATAAACATTATGCAATATCAATGTTAAAAAAGAATTTTTTCACTTTTTATGCTGTCTGCATTTTTATTCAAAAATCAGAATTTTTCTATCAACATCCCAGCTATTTTCCATTCTAAAGGTTGGCAAGTATGTACTTAGCAAATGCACTAGCAATTTATTAAGGATTCTTTCATCAGTTTGTATACATTTATTGTTATTAATTTCTCAATACAAATCATAAGTATTTAAAGCATACAGTATTCTACATAATATTAAATACTAGATAGAATGGAAATGTTTGTTCTATTAATTTTACATAGTATTTTCAGTAGGCTACTAAATAAACTTTGTTGTTTAATATAAAACATTAGAAGTTTACTTTTTCAGCTTATAGAAATAAACCTAAAATAGTTCATAAATTATTTCAGTTATGTTTCTTATTATACTTATAAGCAAACTAATAAAACTATACCATTAATAAATCAATAATAACTAATTATAATAATAATAATGTCTATTTTTATTTCTGTTAACCTTCTAGGTAGATTTTAGTTTTATTGAATTATTAATTTTATGATTCTGTTGATGATATAATTAATTTTATGGCTTCAAATAACTCAGAGTAAACCACATCTTCTGTACCTTTATCAGCAAAAAACAACACTTTTTTAAAGCAAATGTTTTCAGCCACTTTTAGAGGCCTGCCTTAAGTTTTAAATCTAAGTGGGCTCCAGCTTTAATAGAGGTATTGACTCAAATAATTCATTTACTGCTATGAATATATTGAATTTTTTTAATATTCTACAATCCAAAAGGAAATATTTTTTTAATTAATGACTTATTTTTCATTATTCTTTAATTATTTAAATAAGACAAAAACTGTTATTTTTATTTTAAGAATCCATTCCTCATAAAATGTTATGATATTTTATTTGATTATTGTTAATTAATAATAATAGCAATTAACAGATCTTCAAGTGATGCATTTTTTAATTATTTTATCTAACTTGTTCTTTTAATGTTAGAATTTATGAAACCAGAATTTTTCTAATTTACTGTATTTTAATCTTTCTTAATTACTTAATGTTATCAGTCAGTTATTGTTATCAGGTTAAGTTAGTCCCAAAATAATTATAAGTAATGGAGCATACATCCATACCAGTCATTTAATTGAAAGGCAAATTAGTTTAAAAAATTTGAATTTCTACAAAAAGAATACTAATATATTTAAAAATTAACACATATTTAAATTGTCTGTTAATGTTATAAAATTTTTTCTCTCAGTTGATATGAAAAATATGTCAAAGACTTCTTTATAAAATGTTCCCTAATAAATAAAATAAATTTTTAAAAGTAAAATTATATCTAATTTACTGCTTATAGAATGAAATAAATTACTTTTAATAATAATGCAGTTATAAGAACTATGATTATGTAAATCTTGTTTTAAAGTTTAAATTACATTTTTGCAAAATATATGAAATTTATAATTATCAAAATAAACTTAACTTGATTGAAATTAATTGTATAAAAATTCTACATAGAATTTTTAAGAATTTTAAGTCAATTTTTTTTTTAATTTAAAAATTTTAACATTCTTAAAAAATATTTTATTTGATACTGAAATATTATAATTATTTCAATAATTGCTTAATTATTGGTGATTAATGAAAAAAAGTAATAATAAAATTTTCCATCTGAACATTTAATGAAACAATCATTAATAGTTTATTTTGTTAAAACTTTAATGATATCTAAATCATTATTTTCTTATATGAATATAATTTAAAAAAGTTTTTTTTAACAGCAAACTTCAAAGAACTCCTCAAATCAATGGGTAAGTGTGAAATATTTTTTATTGTCTTAACACAATATTAAAAGTACATGGATTTAAGATTTAATAGATTATTTTAAAATGACATTAAAACAATAAGATTCAACATTAATATTTGGTTTCCTGTAATTTACCTTACAGGAAACCAACCATTTAAAGATATTGAAAACATATTTTTCAATATCTTCAAGATTTTAATTACAATTTTTCATGATTATTTATTTATTCTGATAATACAAAAAATGAATATTGCACAAACGTTTTCCAACTGCTTCAGAGTTCTTCTTCAGGTGTGACTGAACAGTTACTCAATGGAACATTATTGGAACTAATGCCTACTTGTAAAAGTTAGTTCCAATAATGTTCCTTTGTATAACCATTCAGTCACACTAGAAGAAGAACTCTAAAGGAGTTGGAAAACATTTGTGCATTGTTCATTTTTTGTATTATATTCACCAGAAGTTGGTTCTGTGTCTGTTGTACAGTACATATATCCCAGTGTGGAGTGGTGTGTATATTTTAACAAAAGTGTTTCTGTTATCTAGGATCTACTGTAGAATCACCATATCTTGATATTTTTGCATTAGAGACTTTATCATTTAGAATGATATCTAAGAGAAAAAGATATAAGTAACATTGCTATAAATATCTAATGTATTCATATTTTATTTATTAACATTTTAGAATTAAAGGAAAATTTTAAAGTCATTAAATGAGTAAATATATAACATATATACTGTGTTTTCATTTCATAATTATTTTAAATAGATTTTAAATAGATATTTATATATTTTAGACATTTATAAATATCTATTACAGAAAAATCCATCAATATTAGAGATTATATATAATAGTTGAATAAAGTTAAATGATTATATAAATTGAAAAAAAGTAATGTTTATTTAAATTATATTATAAATCTAATTTACTTATTAATTTTTTGAAACACAAATTGTATTTTAAACAAAATTTTTAGTTATAAAACATTCTTTATTCTGTTGTTATAATTTTTCCAATACTTTTTTGTATATGTGATTGCAAAAATTCAATTATTATTATTATAATTACTCTTTAACTTGATCTCATAAAACAGTCACAACTAATAATGCTAGTCATAACTAAAAAAGGTTTTGTATGAATAATATTGATGACTTATTTGCATTAAAATTAACACTTCTCATATCTTTCTTTAATGTTTTTCTGTTTAACATAGCTAACCTTAAAAAATGCAGTACCTTAGAATTGTTATTCTTACTTTTTTTTAATGAAAAGTTGTTGAAAAAAGTATATTTGTTTATATTTTTTTACTGAGTTGTTTTTAAATTATTGAAGTTTTAAGAATTTATGTCTATAACGAATTTAATTATGATTGCAATTTTGATTTTCTGCTTCAGTTAATATTCATATAATTTAGAACTATGATCTATAATTTGAGTGCTATTTATTTATGAGCATAGTTAGACAACCATACAACTATTAAAAGAAATGGTCAAATAAAATTAGATGGATCTGTAAGAAAACAATAATTTGTTATGATTATAAGTCGATATATAACGAAATTTTATTAAGGAATAGACCCTAACTATGTAATGATGTAATAAAAATTCAGCAATTTTACTTTCCTTATTATATATTAATAAATTTACAGTATTATGTAACATTTTCAAAAATTTAGTTACATAACATAAATGTAGGATTTTTATTAAATTTGGAATTGACATGATTTATTTAAAATCATTCAACTGATTGCAGCTGATACAAAAACAATTCAATTTTTAAAATAAAAATAGTTTTCATATTAAAAATTTATTTATAGAAGTATTTAATAAATTTGGATTTGTTAATTTCATAATCCTTGGATGGATTTTAATTTGTATGTTAACTATACAAATGCTACAAATTGCCAATTGTTGAAAAGTTGTTAGCTTGAATACATTAATGAATTCATAAATTATATTTAGTTATATATTAATTTAGTAGAAAGTTAATAATGATTAAATTAATTTAGCATTTACTCAATCTTTGAGAATTTTATTTCCAAATATTTAGAAATTTCTTTTCCAGATTTTAAAAATATATTAATAGTATTATTAGTTTTGGTATAAAAAAGTAAGCTATAAAGTAAGCTATCTACTTAGTGGTAATTATTTAATTCTATGATGAGTTTTTATTATTTTTATAAAATAATAGAAACTCATCATAAAACTGTCCATTAAAAAAAAACAAGATAGATAAAAAAAAATATTGCTCTAACAATCTTAATTTAATAAGGGACATTTCCTGTATTCATTATAACTGAATGCTTAATTTAAATACAAATTAATTTTTTATGTAATTTTCCTATTTTTAAATGAAACTTTAATAGTATGATTTAAAAAAATGTAAAAACTTATATTTTAATTTTAGGGTCTATACTGCACAATGGGTTGTAATTTTGCAGTTACTGCATACATTCAATTATTGAAAGGTAAAAATTTATTTTTAAAATATTTTTAGTACTTTAGTCTGTATTTAATTAAATTTAAATTAAATTGTTTGAATAAATATATTCATAGAGCAATTACAAAAATATGGTATTTTCATGCATATAACCTGCAGGTTATCTGTATTTAACAGGCAATTTGAAAAGGGATAAGGGTTTTGCAATAGGGTAGGCTATACCATTTATTTTAAAGTGCAATCACAAACTTATGCCTGTAGCTCAATGACTGCTGCAAAGATGTATGTGGTGGGATGGATTATGCAAAGGTTTTATTTTTGTTTTAGCTGTTTTCTATGAGGTATATGCTATTGCAGGAAAGCATGAAAATATGCTATTTGAATGTTTAAAATTGGCATATTTTAAAACTTTGAAAATAGTTTAGATGTATAATGTATAGAACTATAAAAAATATTTATTTGACAATAAAGAACTTATTATTGTAACATTTTTATTAATTACTATCACATTGATTATTATGCAGAAATAGACACACATAAATTTAAATTATACAGATTATATTAAAAAGTTTCAAATTTTAAATTATTTAAAAAATTAATTATTTAGTTCTATTGGATAAATAGAATAAATAATTTTAAAATCCTTTTATACTTTGAAAAATAATATATAATTTATTACAATTAATAAATTTAGTATTGATAAAGAGTTCTTTATATTGGCTTTGCATACATGTTTAAGGAATAAAAAACACATGTAATACATTTGGATAGCCATAAAAAAGATGAGTTTAATGAAGAATGAATTTTCAATTGATAAAGTATTATAAGAATTTTTCTTTTACCAAATCTATAACCAAAAATTATGACTTACTATGTATAAAGTATTTTTACTTGAAATAAAAAATTTTTATATCAATAATATATTTAACAAAATATTTTTGTAACATATATCAACATATAAATTTTCATGTTTTAAGACTAAATGTAATTTTTAATAAAATTTATGATATTTATTTATTATTGAGTTATTTTGATTACTGTATGAAAGATAGTTTAAACTTTACTCAGTGATTGTTTAATTAAAGTAAAAAGTGCCTCTCTAATTTGTTATAAATATGTAAATTTGTCAATACTGTATATTTTAAATACAAGAACATATTAAGAAAACAATCATATAATACAAGAAAATATTAAGAATATTCAATATTAGAATGACACAAGTTTAACTAGTGATACATATGGAAATGACATTACTATTATATTTGAGTATACTGTAGAAATATTAATTATTATTATTATTATTGTATAATAAATTAGAATAATAAAATTCTAATTATTAAATAAATCTATTGTTCAGAAATATAAAAGTTTTAATTTAATTTTTTAATCTTAATAAATTTTTTTTATTATAGATTTTAAGAAATTATTGTTATTATTACATATTGTGAAAAGCTTTAAAATTTTAAATGTATTTTTTCTTATTACAGATGAAATTGGTATACCTTCAGCTCCTTACCTTGTTGCTGGATCTCAAACACATAATTCTGTAACAATAAAGTGGGAAAAATCAAAATATAGTAATATAACATATTTAGTACAATGGTGTTATGAATCAAATCCTAAAGAATGGAAATATTATGATTCTGAAAACCCACTAGAAACAAATGTTCTTCAAATAAAACACCTCTATCCTTACACAAAATATAAGGTTAGTTATATATCAAATAGTATGATAATGAAACTATATTATCTAATATTAAGATTACTTAAGTTTAATAATTTAAAAATTGTATTTAAATATAGTAATTTTATATGGTACTTAAATTGGATATATTAGAACAGGTGAACTGCTCATGTTCACTCTTTGTTTCAAGCATTACTTTAGTGATATAAATTAATTTAGTGAAAAAATGGTACTTGATTGCTTGCTGTTCTCTCAATTGGTTGTATGTTTCTGGAATCTAGCATAAGATTGCTATTGAGACTTATACATTATATCATTTTATACATTACCATACTTATACATTATTGCATTTTACCATTATACATAATAAGGACTGAAGAGGGGCATAAGGACCAAATTGCATATCATTTGTAAAATATAGAAAATAAAAATCCACTTTTTCCATCAAGAAGAATGTTCCTGTGTGATAAGTTCTCAATAGCAATCTTAAACTAGGTTCCAAGGAACATACAATAAAAAATATGGTATTAATACTAATAAATGTGCAAAACATTTTGATTAATGCTTGCTATGTATGAACTGATAAGTGAGTGTTAAAATCTACAGGATTGCACACAAAATGATCCAGAATTTGTTTTATTAACAAAATCTTTATTTAAATTAAAATAGCATAAACACATAAAAAGAAAGACCATTGAATAGAGATTAATCCTCTGTGAATCAAGTGTTCAGCATGACCACCATTAAATGTAGCAACTTCAACACAAACTGTGATTTTGATCACTCAACAGTACATATCCTCAGTTTTCTCATTACAAACCTGAATGATTAGTGTTCTCAGTTTCACCATTGTTTGCAGCTTTTTCAGAAAAGTTTCTTCTTAAGGAATCTCTAAAGAAAATAGTCACATGAGTTTAAATTGGGCCTGTTTGGGGACTAATTCTATCCACATGCAAATTGATCAGGAAATTAGTTTGAGATGACACATAAGTTGAAAGTGTCATGCAGAAAGTTCAAAACATTTAGTGTTCACAGTCTGATTCTGTCCTGCATGAACCATTGGAATTTTAACAGTAAACCTGTAGCGAGAAGCTCAGCACAAGCAGCTGAACCTTATGCATCAGGCTCACTGTTCACTGTTCCTTCAAAAAAAGAAAAAAATTGGCCAACAGTTCATGACTGCTGGGACCAAGTTTTTGCATGAAAAGTTTATATGTGGACAGAACTGGCCCCCAAATAGTCCTGATTTAAACCCATGTGACTATTTTATTTGGGGAAAGGAGAAAACCACAAACAGTAGTGGAACTGAGAGCAGTAATGACCTCATTCAGATTTTTAATGAGATAACTGAGAATATATGCTGTCAAGAGATCAACATCATCATAGTTTATGTTGAAAAAGTTACCATGGTGGTCATATTGAACATTTGAATAACAGAAGATAGACAACAATTGCATGGAAATTTTTCTTATATGCTAGTTTCTGCTATTGTAGCTTAAAGATTTTATTAATAAAACAAATGTTGGATTGTTTTGTGCACTATCTTATAATCAATATGATTGAAAAATTCATGAGAATAAAATAGGAAAGTATTTCTGACATAGCATTTTATAACATGTTTATAAAATTAAATACTTCTGGATCAAAATAGAAAAGACTTGGTATAGTTTGTAGAAAGTGTATGTTGATAATATATTATCATGACAAAATATATTATGATGGGTGAAACAATTATAGTAATACCTAACTAAAAGTTTATCCATATGTTTTCATTTTTATAAAGAGATAAATTTGATTAGTTATGTCATTTCCTACTTTTAGAATGTTATTTTTGTTGTTTTCTTTTTTTTATAAAGAATAATTCATTATAAGTAGTTGTTTTTAATTAATTTATTATTTATAAATAGTTGAGTAGTATAATGAAAACTACTGTTTATTTTTAGTTTTAAATGTACTTTTAAAATAATTGTTATTCTAGTAACAGCAAAAGTATACAGTAAAGGATCTTATTTTACATGGGATTGATATGCATGGATTCATTTTTTATGGATGATAAAAAATCACTGCTAGTGTCACTGAATCTAACTCTTAAGTCAGAAAACTGCATTTTGGTGAATACACTGATTTGCATGTATTTTTCTCAAATATGTACTTAATATGATGTAGTAAAATAACATTGGACTAAAATGTTATTCAATATAGTAAAAATTAAAGTAAAATGTTTAAATACATTTTAATGCTTTTCTGTTAATTGTATAAACTATTGCATAAGTGTCTATACAATCATCTTTGCATAATTTTGCAGTAATGCAGAATTTCAATTCAAAATTTGCATTGAAATTTGTTTTACATGGTACCTTATGACATGCAACTCTGTAAAATGAGACCATTCTGTACATATTTTATGTTCTTAAATAGTTGTACGTAAAATGTAAATTGTTTGTTTTATATCATTTGTGATGTTTTAAGATCAATTTTAATACTTAAAATTTTTTATGCTTAGTTCCGCATAGCATGGATATTATTACCTCATTATAAACCTTTATTATCTAAGGAGAGCTTTGCAATTACAACAACATCTTATGGTGGTAATAACCTTATTTAATTTTATTAATGAAATTGTAATAATTTTTAATTTAATAAAAACATTAGATTAGTCTTCTATTTGATCACTTTAATTTTCTAGTTAAAATAAATTTAGATAATAAATTATTAAATTAATATTTATATCATAATAAGACATAAATGAATAATAATTTTGATATTTTGAAATTCATTATAATATATTTTTTATTTAAAAATTGTATTTAAATATAGTAATTTTATATGGTACTTAAATTGGATATATTAGAACAGGTGAACTGCTCATGTTCACTCTTTGTTTCAAGCATTACTTTAGTGATATAAATTAATTTAGTGAAAAAATGGTACTTGATTGCTTGCTGTTCTCTCAATTGGTTGTATGTTTCTGGAATCTAGCATAAGATTGCTATTGAGACTTATACATTATATCATTTTATACATTACCATACTTATACATTATTGCATTTTACCATTATACATAATAAGGACTGAAGAGGGGCATAAGGACCAAATTGCATATCATTTGTAAAATATAGAAAATAAAAATCCACTTTTTCCATCAAGAAGAATGTTCCTGTGTGATAAGTTCTCANCATTGTTAATTCATATAACAAAAATTATTAAGTTTAGTTTAAATATTTGGATATCATTAGATAATTAATTTAAATTAAATTAAGCACTTACATATCAAATACAAAATTATAAAATAAAAGTTTTTGTAACTGTATAATTCAAATATCTACTAAAAATATTCATTCTTTTAATATTTTTTAAATTTTTGGTAGTATTTTTTTTTCTATTTCAGTGATTTTTTTACTGCATATATATTACATTACTAATGTATTATAATGTATTCTTTTTTTTATTTTTGATTGATATATTGATGAAACTACAAGATACGTTAAAATATATATGATTTAATCAAAATATTTGATCAGTTTTATATCACAAATAAACAGTAAAAATATGTCCACAGTATTTTTATTAGACATACAATAAGTTTTCTATTACAGTTTCGATTATTTGTGGTTGTAAACAACATATTATGTATTACTTATTGTACTGTCTTAAAAAAAAAAACACTTATTAGTCTGAAATCTGCTGAAACAATAATATAAATTATGTCATCATAACAGTTAATAAGAATATACGAAAACTTTTTTTTAGTTTTAATAATTACATGACTTAAAATCTTATCACAATTATTTATTGTAAGAAAATTCACAAATTTATTTAAAAATACAATAGTGTCTGCTTACAATGAACCTGTATGGACTGTTCAAACTGGTTTATTATAACTGATGTTCTTATCTGAATACCAGATAGGAAATAAAGCATAGTCTAATTTTGTAAGATTAAAGCTTAATGACTCAAGAATAAAATGTAACAAATTATTACATAGGAAGTTGCCCATTAAAACATCAATATAAATATGCATGGTTACTTAAAAAACTCTGTTATTTTTCTTTGTCAACTTTTGTTAGTTGCATTACATTCTTTAATACATAGTTCCACCATAGCAAACCTATTTAAAATATTTTGTGGAGTATTATGCATTTGTAAAAACTCTTGAATAGCAATAGTGTTTTGCAAAACTTCAGAAAATCGGATTATCAGAACATTGACACCATCTGCATGTATTGTATTATCATCTTTATCCTCACTAATTTCATTATTTTTGGAAGACACTGAAGCTATAATATAATCATCACTAGTAACACTGTCATCAACCCTGACATATTCTTCAAAATTGTATTTAGAAAAAGCATCCAGTAACTGTAGAGGGAGCACATCTTGAACACTTTTTGTTTCATCATTTGTAAATTCATTCTTCGAAAAATGTCATCATCTGAATCAAACTCTTTTTTATTAGTTTGTAGAAAGCCAGCATGTTGAAAACAATTTGATATTGTTTGCATTGATACATTTTACCATGCCATAAGGATGAAGTTTATTGCATCAAGAATATTTATAGAAAACAATTCTTTGCTATTACCTGCAGAAATTACCATTTTCAAAAGAAGAATTCACTGATAGCTTTCTCTTTAAGCTGTATATAACTCCTTGGTCTAAAGGCTCTAATTTTGAACTTGTATTTGGCAGCATGAACACCAGTTTAATTGCAATGTAAATTGCATTCATTTAATACACTTTTTATTCTATTTTATTTTTAGCGTGATTAATAACAGATTCAGACTCAGTCTGGAACCTCACATATGGCAGCATACATTGAAATCTCTCAGACATCTGTTTGCTACATTTATCTGTGTTTCACGCTTATAATATTTACCTCTATCCCATGAAAAAAATAATAAAAAGAAAATGCTTATGTTTATTCTTATCATTAATTTTTTAAAGTTATATCTTTATTTGTAACATTGCATGATTTTGCAAGTCTGGGCTTCCCACTACTGAAAGCTTTTGAATTTTAATTGTATTTGAATATGTAAAATATTGTTCTATTCCAAATTTGTAGATTATATCTGATGATCTTCATTACAAATGGATGAAAATGTTTGTGTTACTAAATATATCTATTCTTTTTGTTAGTTTTGGGTATATTTCAGTGCATTTTTATTATATACAACCAGTTGTTGAAGAGGTGAATATAGCACTATGATGGCTGAGACTCACTGTAGTCTATATTTATTATCCAAATGTTTTCATGCCATACAGAAGTATTATTTTACTATTTATTAACTTTCTTCACAGAAAGTTAAGAAACAAAATCATCCTCTGACTTCTTATATCCAAAAAATGTTATTTAATCAATTACATTCAGGTTATCATTATTGGACACCTAGTTTGGAAAACTCTGCCTTAGAATACAAGAATCAATAATAAGTTAGATAAAACTTCATTCTAAACTTTTCAAAACAGTCTAAATAAATCTCTTTGCTAAACTAGTGACATAATATTAATTTTCCTTTTATATTTAATTTATGTAAGAAAATTTTCAGATGTTTAGAAGTCTTACATATTCTACAATCTTTTCAACCATATTTTAAAAAATAATCATCATTATTCAAGACTTCTTGTCAGGAGAAATTTGATTATTAGCCAGATGTCAATCAAAATTTTAAAGTTTGGATATTATATTACAATATTAGCTAACTAAGAAATGGTAGTCTAGTATATTTTCTTACATGAAATAATTATTAAGATTTTATTAAATATAAAAAGCTATATTAATTAAAAAAGCAGACAAAAATAATGATGATGACAGTGATTTTTTTTAAATATCTGCTAAATTGAATGTTTGATTTTATTGAACTGTATTATAAAAACATTTACTTAAACCTGTAAAGGATTACCTTAGTTTTATTAATTATAAATAAACAATTAATTGAATTAACAATTAATAACAATAATTTATAAAAATTAATAATTAGTTAAATCATAGATGTTATAATTGTCATATTATAATAATAATCATATCAAATATATAATAATCATATTTTAATTATAGGATGTTTTAGATAAGACAGATAAACCTTATTATATGTTTACAAATTTGCATCCAAATACAACTTATGTTATAGCTGTGGCAGCAAGAAATAATGTAGGAGAAGGGCCATCTGATAGCAGAAACATAACAACACCAGAAAAAGAAAGAAATTCAAGTAAATACTTGTTTTTATTATATATAGATAAAAATAATATATATAAAGTATAAAATTATAATGATTTACCAATTATTCATACAGATTATATGGTAGCAACTAAATGCATTCTTTTAATTGTGAGAACTCAAGTGGTATCTGAGATTTTGAAAAATTATTGAGAAATTTTATTTAAAACATCTGTAAAATTAATATTTTTCTAATTTTGTTCTCTAAATCAAAATTGGTTTTATCTCTGATGTACTACACCAGTTACCATGTTTTTATTTTATATATGTTGCTAACTGTCGCCTTTTTCATATAAAGGCTAAAAACATTGTAAATACTTGTGCTTGATATTTTCATTTTTCTAAGCTTTTTTATATTAGTATTAAATTTGCATTTATTTTTCTGATTATTTTCAAATAAATGCATTGCCTGTGTATCTCTTTGAGATTCCAATTAAATACAGGTTAATGGAGTAAGCAATACATCTTTAACAGTGAGTAAGGTTGGAGAAATGCTAACATTTTTGACCCAGTTAATGGTCATCAGTTGGCTAAGTGTTTTAAAACATTAGCATTTCTCAAACCATACCCACTGCTAAAGGTGTATTGTTTTACTTCATTCTTCATTATATTAATTACAGTGACTAGTTCAAGTTTAAATACTGGTTATATATTACTTTTTGAAATTAATCTATGTTTTTTTCTTAATAATTTATCCTATAATAATAATTATTCTTATACAGTGTGTAGACACAAAATTGCATCAGGCTATATCTCATGCTTACTATGTAATAACTAAATTTGTTGGTTTGGGTGTCATGCACCCACAAAACCCCTTCTCAAGGGCGATATATATGCAAAGTTAAGAAAATTATATACAGTGATACCTCGACTTATGTTACCCCGACTTACGCGAACCCAGAGTTACGCAATTTTCAAATCTCATCGATTCGTCTTTTGTTTGAGCACCATGCAACTCTTGATTACTCATTCCCTCCACACTATTGTTCAACTTACGTGTTCGAACGTGTTGCGCGGAATTGACACATAGCTACAATTTATTTTGTGTTATTTATTTCTGTGTTTGTTATATCTATGGAGACTCGAGAGACTCTATGTGGTGATTTCTTGTAACAATGAACGAATCAAAAGACAAGATAAGATTAACGAGAACATTTATTAGCTTACGTACATCCGACTTGGATTTTACACACATTGAGAAATTATACCCTGACTTACGCAAATTCGACTTAAGCAGTTATTGCTCGGTCCCACCTATCACGTAAGTTCGGGGTATTACTGTATATGTATTTTCTAATAACTAATAACATATATGTACTAACTAAATATATGTAATAACTAAATTTATTTATGTACAGTATCTATATTCCTTATATTTATATGTTTTTACTTTTGATATCTGAATTTTTTTGAATGAAAATCTAAAATATTATTTGGTAATATAAAATTTGACATAATTTTTTTTTCTGTTCAAAAATTATTGTAATGTATCTTGTATTATTTAATTTTATTTACATTTCCTGTATTAATTATTCTCTTTAATTACTTATTTGATCATTTAAATGAAAAAACAAAATGCATATATAACTTACTGGAAAGTTACAAAATTTTAAAAATATCAAAATTACAGTGGAACCTCGGTATACGACCTTAATTCGTTCCTGGTGTTTGGACTTATACCGAATAGGACGTATAACAAATCAACCTTTTCCATAAGAAGTAATGTAAAAATGATTAATCCGTTCTCATGTAAAAAAAATGGCTGGCTTTAAACACCTCGCTTTCCTGGCTAGTTCCTGCTTGATTTTTCATGAGATCAGCATGTATCCTTTTAACTTTCTCGCAAATAATTTCTTTCGATACGCTGTCGCCGGCACACTGTTTTTCAGTTATACAAAGCAAAAGCAATTTCTCGACATGATCTAATGTCGAGAATCTTTGTTTAGAAATTGATTTAACCCCTTTCGCAACGTTAGCAAACTTAATAATGTCTTTATTTTTCACGATTGTCGATATCGTCGTTCTCGGAATACGGAATACAACAGTTAAATCTCGAAAACGCGTGCCACCTTCATATTTCTCAACAATCTCTTTTTTCAGTTCCGTTGTGATTCTAGTCATTTTTTTTATTTTTCTGTTGCCCTTTTGCAATTCATGATTAATAAAAAAAATAAAATTTTACTTACAAATTAAAATCTGAAGAAATTTAACAAAGTTATAAATTGTAGCACCGTGAACGTCTAGTCTGGTGTAGTACACCGATATTGCTACAGTACTTGTTCATAGATGGCGCGTATAATTGAATTAAGTCGTATACCGAACAAAAGTCGTATACCGAACAAATTTTGTTTCGTCCAAACAGGACGTATTCCGAATTGGACGTATTCTAAAGCAGACGTATACCGAGGTTCCACTGTACTTAATTTATTGTAATGGTAATTACTCTTAAAAATAACTTATTGGATAACTATTTTTAAATATATAAAAAATTTGTGAAAAAAATAGAGATTGTAAAATATCGAATTTTTTAAAATAAAAATATAATGATTAAAATAAATAAAATATTATTTTATTTTTTACCAATTAAAGGAATATATAACTAGAGAGAAATAGTGTTTAATATGATTATTTAAATATTTCAAAAAATTTAACTGCAAACAATGAACTTTTGAATATTATGGAATACTGTAATGTAAGACAGTATTGTACATTTGCATTCAATTTATCAATGCATTGCAACCTATCAACTATCAAACTAATAACACTGTTTTGCCAAAAAAATTTATTTCTGCTCCTATCAAACATTTTTACTGATTTTTTTTTTATAATTTTAATGGTGCTGAATCTAAATCTGGCAAAATAATTGACCACCTGCCACTTTTGAGAGAGATCAGATTTTTGAAGGAAAACATTTTTTTCAAAATATTATATTTACTTGCTCCACATATTCTTAATTGGCTAATCAGATACAAATAAATTTATGTTAATTATTTCTTTCTCATAATTCTATACATTTAAAAACAAAGTCTTAATGACATATTTTCTTTTGTTTTAAATTCTTTTTCATGTTTCTCACTGTAGAGTCCAGCAGTAATTCACTAACATGTTTTCATTCTACTTTCTGCTATGCCATTTTTCTATTTGAGAAAGAATCTGATGTAACTTTTCTCTGTGTTTAGAAGAAACAGCTCCTAGGTTGGCAGGGAAAAAATCTAAGTGGGAATGCAGGAAATGCATCTTGAGTGACATATTGCAATCCAGTGTTTGGATACCATTACCAAGACATTACCAACTTCTCCACAATATTCTCAGTTGTTAGCTCGTACATTCTTGTTCACATTTTTGAATGCATTCCATACTGTCTTTTCTGCTGGATTAAGTTTTTCCTTGAAACTAAGCTGCTACAAAAGTTGTCTTACCTGGAGACCAACAAAAATTCTCCCCTTTACTTTCACATTGCTTAGATGAGAAAACTTTTGCTTTAAGTAAACAAAGCCTTTTCCTTTTCTATCCGTACCTTTCACAAATTTCTTCATCAAATTGAACTTGATATGAAGAGGAGGTAAGAGGATTTAGTTTTCTCCACCAAAGCAGGAAAAGCAATATTCTTCTGACCTTGTACATTTGCTGCATGATTGAGCCTCTTTTTTGTCAGGTAGTGACTGGTTTTTGCTTGACTGTCCCATTCACATAAAACAGCACAATTTAGTATATCCTTCTTGAGACTTATTAGGATTGCAACAATTTTGAGGTTAGCAAACACATTTTACTTATGCTCATTGTATTTTATCTTGTCCGGCATTACCGTCATGTTGTTGTAAGTTTCTTTTATGTGAACAGCATGAGCAATTGGAACAGACGAATGTTTGTTGTCATTGTATAGCAAAACTTCTTTAAGGTTGAACTTTGATGAGTCAGTAAAGAGTCCCCATTTCACAGGATCCTGTGGCAGTCAAAGCTTTTCTAACAAATGTAGTGTATCGTTGCATAAAAGATTGTCTTCCATTGAAAAAATTTAAGATTTCCTGACTCTCTTTTTCTGGCAAATTTCTGGCTCTTTTAGACAGAAAATTTGTCTAAAAGAGGCATTTTTCTGCAAAAATGTGGTATTTAAAAAAACTGTGGGTGATAGAAGATTTTTGACTTTAGACTCATATTTAGCACACTAAAATTCATTAAAATATCACATTTTCTTTCATGGGAGGATTTTAATGCAGAACAATGTAATAAATTTATCAATGATGTCGTTCTAACAATAGGAAATTTTTAAATGTTAATTTTTTTTTTTCAATTTCATGTATTTTAGTAAAACAAAAATTAAATATTTTGTAGGAATATTATAAGAAATAAAATTTGTGACTGATGTCAAAACTAAGAAAATTTTAGAGTTTATAAATATTACAATTTACTAATAGTTGTTTTTTAGTATTAAATTTGACAATATATATTTCTGATTACATGGTACTGTACATATTTATGGAATATGGTGGTAAATGACTTTTTCATATGAAACTTAGTAATTTTTTGTCTTAAAACTTATATATCTAATTTAACATATAATTATGTGATATAGAATTTTAATGATGATTTTAATTATTTAGAATCTCAGATGGTAGATCCATACCTCTTATTTCCTACTCAACACTGTATAGCAAAACACAGTTTATCTATTTCTGATGTTGAAGAAGTAATTTTTTGTCCAGCGAATAAATCAGCTTTTATTACTGGTAATTAAACTTTTATTATTTTAGTCAATTATATGTTTTCTAATAAATTAAAAACCATTAAAATGCTTAAAATTTTAACTACGTAACTGTAAATATTAAATAAAATTCATTTGTCTAAATTATTAAACTTTATAATTAATTATAAATTAAAGGATCTAAACATTTTAGTTAAATTTTATTGATGTTTTGTACAAGTTTAGTAATTTTTAAAAATAATTTTACAATTTTTGATTGGTTGAAGATTTATAATAATAATAATAAAAGCTATTAATACATACATATGTTGTCTCTGTACTTACTTGTACTTACTTATTTTTTTGGAGTTATACACTGGACATGCATAGATCTTGAGTAACTCCAAAAAAAAAACAAGAACAATACTTACTAAGCATAAACAATATCACCTGAAATGATCCATAGAAAAACTAACTCTTTCTTGTAAAAAGGTGTATGTGGCCTTACTAATATAGTCAAGCTGCACTACAAACAAATTCTGACACTGTGGGAGTTCTTCCACAAAATGTAAGAAACATTAAGATTACATAAAGCTATAACTCTGCAGGTAGTAACCACACAGCTTTAAACTTACACTCTGAGCACTGGGACATAGCTCAACACATAAATAACTTAGACACTATTAAGCAGTCATGGGACCAAAAAGTACTTCATGGCAGGCATGTCTACAACCTAGCTTAGGATTATGTTGACAAAACTGGATCAAACTACAGGCTGATTAGGGGCTGAGTGTTTGGAGATACTGACAGATTTATGGTTGCTATTCAAAATCAGATTATAAACACTAAAAACTACAGAAAACACACACTTAATAGCTTATACCTTGACTTTAATCTGGCATAGCACTTGGCACCAGTATTAGCTTAGGCATGATATTCACAAAATAATAATAATTTTACACTAGTTTCTAATATATCATCACTCACAAATGACTTGTGCAGAAAATATCATATTCTACCAGAAACAATACAACATATAACCTCTGATTGCAAGCTCTTAAAACAGACTATTTACATAGGAATAATTAAATAGGAAATATAATACATCAAGATCAAGAGCTTGCACAGAAACACAGGTACCATACTACAAATATATTTCATAGACAGTATTAGAAAATGACACACACACAAAATATACTTTGACAGAGCCATAATCACAGATAAAACAATTCATCACAATAGACCTGACATCACTTTCAATGCAAATGCAGTAACATCACTTATATAATAGACATCTCTGTTTCAAACACTCATAACATTAAAAGTGCTTACATTGAAAAAAATCAACAAATATAGTCTACTCGCTCAAGAAGTAAGACAGATGTGGAGGATGGATAAAGTATTTATTGTACCTGTTGTCCTCTCTTCCACTAGTGTTATACCACCTACACTACACAAAAGTCTAGAAACATTAAACCTTAATAAAAACATATACATGGCACTACAGAAAGTTGCAATATTGAATACATGTCACATTGTCAGGAAATTTCTAGATGTTGACATACACATCAATAACACATCTTAATGTTACACTTGTTTGGGTAGCTTATGCCTTGACTTTAATCTGGCATAGCACTTGGCACCAGTATTATCTTGGGCATGATATTCACAAAATAATAATAATAATATTTTTACACTAGTATTTAATATATTCCTGCTTTTGTGATGTAAATTTCCTATCATGACTGCATAAAATGTCATGTTTAACTTTCAAATATTTTGTTGATACTTCCAATACTATGTAGTATTGTTTAGTTAAAAATTTTTTTCGAACTTAATTAGTTTGACACTGAGTTTGTAATAAATAGGATGATTCACTTAATAATTATATTCTAGGAACTAGTTAAGTCGTAAAATGGAGATATACTAAACATTGATATAATATGTATAAAATTTCAATTACAATCAATAAATTTTATTTTATTAGTTTTCAGAATAATATATACATTTTGGAATATATACATTTGATTCAATTCATTTATCATAAATAAAATGTCATCTTAGTGATGATCATCACTATGATGATATTCCAACAAAATCATAATCAGTATAGCTGTAAATTAATTGCTTATATAGTTTAGTGAAACTATTATTTTTTAGCTGTATTTTATATAATATTACAATGCATGTCATTCAGGATGTAAAAATTATTAAAAGTTTTACCAAAATTAAATAAACATTAACACAGAATCAGTAAGTTAACAAATAGCACAAATGACTGTTATAAAAGAAATTTTAATGCCAAACAATTTCCAGATTATATTGTGTTATTGATATAATCTAGCAATCATTTGGTGTTAATATTAAAGATCAATTTAATGATGTTTATACTTATAAAAGAAATTTGTTTCTACTTTTATAAACAAGAAAATAATGATTCTATATTGTAATTAATCAATCAAGGGCAATTCAAATCTTTTTCAAAATCAAATCTTTTATTTGAGACATTTCATATTCCAAAAATTTTTTAAATGAAAGATTTAACTTCTTGAAAAAGGTTTGAGTTTACTCTTGATAAGTTGATTATTTCTAATTATAACTAATTTTTTTGGTTGATCAAATTTGTAGATAGATTCAAAGGTAAGTAATTTGTAATAAAAATATTTATTCCATAAGATAAATGTATTGTTTTTTGATTGTTACACAAGAAAAACTAATTACTCTTTATGAGTCAGTATTGTTAATATTAAGCCAAAACTAAACAAACAAGATAACAATGTTACTTTCAATTTTATATGAAGCTACTATTTTACAATTGTAGTTTGAGGATATTTATACTCTGTATTTTGATTCCTGTAATAGATATCATTTCCATTTTATTCTTTCTTTCTTTTATAGTATGCAACAATTTCTTATTGTTAATATAAAGTGAGGTTTTGTTGAGATTTTTTGCAGTTATAACATTTTTACAATACATCTTAATTTTGCATTGAAAACATGAAAGCATTGGAAAATATGATTTTATATTAATTAATTTTTATAGATTTCATGTGTGATCAGTGTTGTGTGAAAAAATTGGGTACATTTTATGGACACACTGAATAAGACTGTTATTTCAATTAAGCTAGAAATTCAATTTATTTTTGATTATTAGATCTTTTTTGTATTTTTACTTATTTACAATGTGATGCTTATCCATAATACTTGATATATGAGAATTTGATAGAATGAGACACTTTAATTTATTCCTCTTCTCAATTTATGAGAAAAAATGTTTGTTACAACAAGCACCAGCTGATATTTAACAGAGAAAAATATTCTAATCATGAGTGTGATGATACTGAAATTCCCACATGCTCCAATTAGATGGCTCATAGGTTCCAGCATCCATTTTTCTTGTTTCATTCACACTTTATATTTGTTCATTAGGGATAGCACCATTTCTTGTAATGGGGTTATGCACTTTAGTAAACTACTCTCTACATTACAAACTCTTTATTGGTGATTACATTTTTATTTTACTCTGTTTTACTTATTTTCTGTTTATTCTCATAACTGTCATTCTTACTGTTAAATTAAAACTATTAAATAACTTATATACTCATGTCATTTATATCATATTCACTTCTCTCATTTTGTATTAGTATTTTATATCAGGGAATATAAAACATTTAGTCAATACTTTCATTTTATTCATTTTATTTTATTTAGAGTTATTGGTTAATAGGTAAATAGGTGTTCTGAAGCACTTTAATGTTATTTATGGAACATTGTTAGTGTGACTGGTTATGATGTAATGAACTTTAAATTTTGACCATAAGAAATAATGGATAAACTTGTCTCCACGAGATTTTGATTTATGACAGATTTTTTGGAATTGAGATATGATTGTAAGTTGGGATTATACTGTATAGTGTATGAATGTGGAGATTTACAAATGAATCAATATTTAAAATTTTGTTTTATTACTGAAAAAAATTTTTTTTTGATTTTAAAACTATTTCTTAAATGAAAATTATATTTTTAGGCATGGCATTTCATATGAGAGAAGAAAAAATATATGTTTCTGACTCTACAGGTTCTATTTATTGCATCTCTATGTATGAAAAATTTCAATTAAATCCACCAATTATTGAAGCAAGATCTTCAGTTTCAACTTTATTAACTCTTGATTGGTTAAACAATCATTTATATATGGTTGTAGAAAATAAGGTAAAGAGTATTTAAATAATTCAATTCTGTATAGGAAATAAAATTATAAATTGGTATAAATTATAATATTAAACAAGAGATTGAGAACTACTTTAATTTTTAAGACTAAATTTTGAGATATATCAGGATGAATGTTAAACTTCCTAAAATATGAGGGTAGTTTTTTTTTAATCTCTGATGGTCCATAAAACAAAGACAAGTGTAAATAACAAAATTAATTTATTACCAAAGGTTAGGTACAAACATGGTTACTTTTCAACATAATCATCATGAAGATTGAGGCATTTGTCATATCTATGGATATCTTTGCAATCCTTTCTTCATAGAATGTTGTTGCCAGTGACTTGAGATGGGCCTTAATGTTGTTTTGAAGATTGTCATTAGTCTTGAATCTCTGCCTTCCTAGTTCATGAAAGAGGTGGAAGTTGCTTGGTGCTAAATTGGGGCTATACGCTGGGTGGAAGTCTTTACACTTTTAATATGTGAAGACTTCCATCTGTTTCCTGAACTGAAAACATGGCTAGGAAGACAGAGGTTAAAGACTAATGATGATCTTCAAAACAACATTAAGGTCCATTTCAAGTCACTGGCAGCAACATTCTATGAAGAGGGGATTGCAAAGCTCATCCACAGATATGACAAATGCCTCAATCTTCACGATGATTATGTCAAAAAGTAACCATGTTTGTATTTAACTTTTGGTAATAAATTCATTTTGTTATTTACACTTGTCTTTGTTTTATGGACCATTGGAGGTTGAAAAAAGACAGCCTATATATAATAGATTGGAGAAATACATATAGAATTAAATATTTACTTTTTAATATTGAGCAGAAATTTTATATTATTGAATTAATGTAATGTATTTTTGATCTTAATGATTAAATTATTTTTAAATATGTAAATATTTTATGCTTCTTTCTTAAGTTCTTTTAATATTATTACAAAATTTGATAAACAAAATTTTTGCAGAGATTGTAATATTTATTGTAACAGATGCTAAATTGCAATGATTAACCTCTTCAAAAAATTTTTTTTGTTGGAAGTTTTTTATTTTTTTAGAATTATATTCAAAGTTTTAAAATCATGCCATAATTTTTAAGGGATAGGCACATTTCTTAAATTTCTAAATTCTGTTTGGTGAAAATCAAAAAGAGATTGATTTTTACAATTTTTTAAAATGTTTGAATTTTTCATAATGACAAAAATCATTAAGAAATCAGATTTGTCGTCTAAAATTTATTTATATGTTTTTTTTCAATATTAAAATACAGTTTATTAAATATGATTATATAGATTAAAATACAAACACTATTGTTTAATTGTTTAATAGCAAATCACAACAAGAATAGATAGATAGAAGAGAGATGTCTAACTCAGATTTCATTCCTTTTTTTTTTGTAAAAGTAATCTCTATTATTAATTTGGATAGAGAAAGTTGTAGGAACTATTATAATCTGGTTAGAAACAAATCAAATATCTAAAGTATGCTTATTTGGAATGATTATAAATATATTAAGTAATATTTAAGGAATTAAAAACTTGATTATATTAAATAATTATAAATATAATATTTTCATTACAGTTAAATGAAAATGAATGAATGAAATGAAAATGATTTCATATTTCTGTAAAGAATAAAATTGAATAGAATTTTTGTTAAAATTTTTCAAACTTTTGCAAAAAATTTGCTGGAGTTAAGAACAAAAGTTGTGACCTTTGTATTCAGGTTGTTATATTAGATTTACAAACAAAACATTCAAAAAGAAGAATTTTAATGATAACATTGTTCTATAATGATTTTAACTTTCTTAATTAAAATATATTTTAAAATCTAAACCTTTTGTTTCACTTTAAATGAAAAATGAAATAATTATATTCAATTCAGCAACTATTTTTCATTGAATTATGCATTTCTAAAATATATATACAGTTGACCCCCCCTATGATACTGTTAATTATTCCATTTTATATGAATTCCATGTTGTACGAGTCACTTAGATTTTATAAATACGTGAGCCGTTCACAGCACAACACACATATTTGTAAAATCTAAGTGACTCGTACAACATGGAATTCATATAAAACAGAATAATCAACAGTGTTATGGGGGGTCAACTGTAAATATTTTTGTTTATAAACTTATATAATTTATCAAAGAAAGATAAATGAATGGATTAATGTAAAAGGCTGGCAACTTTGTCACTGGACTTACAGGGAATTCTTTGTTTGTTTTCATCTCTAATAATTGATCACATTACCTTTGGCTACAGATTTATGTAAAATTACTAATATGAATAATTATTTATGAAATGGGAGTTATTTAACTATTTTAAAAGTATTGCCCTTCCTCATCTCTTTAGCAAAAATGTTTTGGTCTAATTTTGATGATAATTATGATTAATAACAGAAAAAAATATTTATCTGAAAGAATTTCATACAAAAAGAAACTTCTTTATATTTTTACTCTGGATCTAGAGTTGGGGATTGGAGAAATATCAATTTCTTAAAACTATTTCATTAATACATATATATTGAAAAAGAACTCAATTGGTTTATTTTATCAAAACTTATAAAAAAAATGATCGAAAACCATTAATGTTCAGAGTGGAGGTGATTTTCAAAAAAATATTTGAAACAAATACATTTATTTTTTGATAAACTAAGAATTTGTACAAATAATTTGGAAGCTTTTTTAGATATGGCCTCACCCCCTTAATATCTCCTGAACCAATGGTCCATATTTGTGAGATATGAAAGAGTTTTTGCTTGCTTACTAAGGCAAATACCCCCCAAAAAAGGAAACACGTGCAGTAAGTGTTAAAAACACAATTTATTTTGCATGATATAATCATGTGCAGGATCAGTAATGGATGCCAACTCTAGGACGGATACTCTAGCAGTAACCCAAAACACAGTCGTCGCGACGACTGTGTTTTGTAATTATCCAGCCGACGCGTTGGCTGGAAAATTACAGAATATTGTGACAAAAAGAACTCAAAATTACTTATTACCCAAAAATCTCCTTATAACTAATCCTTAAAACTAATTTACACTAAAGGAAAGTGAAAAACAGATGATAGGGGCAAAAAGTTTTTATTTTATTTTATTTAGTTTTTAATTTCTTATTAGTCAAATAGTTTATATATTATAAGTAAAATATGCTTTGAGAATGATAATTAATTAATAAGCTTTAGATGTGATCGGTGTTGAATAAAACTTTTAATATAAATAGAAAATTCAGAAAAATTTATTGAACTAGTGCCTTGCAGTTCACTATCAGTTTTTTGAATTTTTAACAGAAATGGTTGCCATCTATATATCATTGTAAAACGTCATCAATTTTATGATATTAATGACTTATTGGTAATGATTCAAAATATTTTCTTCAAACAATTTTACAACTTATTTAATGAAAAAACTACCATATACACATAAGTAAAGCCATATTGTTCAAGAATAAACTGCATTTATTATACTTGTTAGGACATTTAATTTATGCCTTGATGTTTTGAAAGTAGTTCTGATGTTCAATGTGCCATTTTTAATTAATAGCAAGAGTTACCAATGCAGATTTTTTTTTAATACTAATATTTGTATTCCTGACATAAATTTTTGATGTAAGCATCTCCTTAAAAATTGTGCATGCATGCATGGATAATCTGCACACAATCAAGAGTATGCTGTACTGATTACAATTAAACATATAAAAATGTGTGTAAAAATATGTATATGTTTACTTTCTCAGTTATAGAGGATTAATGAAATTATTAAAATTTTATAAAAATTTTATAGAAGTATTCTAAAAAAAATAATGTAATCTGTTTAAAAGCTGTAAATTTATATTTTTTGAAGAGATAAATAAATTTTATAAAATTATTTTATAAATAATAAGATTTAGTTATTTATTTTAAATGACTATTTTTCTTTGTCTTGCAGATAAACAGATGTGAATTAAATGGAAGTAACTGCAGGACAGTAATTGAAAATCTATATAAACAGCCTAGTGATTTACATGTAGATCCCTTTCATGGGTTTGTATTCTTTTAAATAACTTCATGAATCTGGAAAACTATATTTTGTAGAAATAAATATTAATATTATCCTTTAAAACTATCAGGAAGTTTTACACCAAAACTTCCAGCTAGATTTTAAAGAAGTTTTTGAATATATTAAAATATATTAAAAAATGTTTTATTAAATTTACTATTTCTAAAATAAATTTAATAAAACATAGATTTTAATATATTGTGCATTTTTATATTTGGTTTTATACTTCTATCTTAAGAGTTTGCTTATGATAAGAAGTTTTAAAATTAAGTTCTCATATTGCATCTGTCTTGACAGCAATTTTTAAATTTCATTACTGTAGTATAGTTTAGCTTTTAGTATGTATAAACATCAACTAATTTTTCCATTTGATATAAATTATAAAAAAAAAGAAGCTAATTAGTTATCTGTATCTTCATCTTCCATAAGTATCTTTTGGTATTAAATATAAAAAAACAAGTAAAATGGCAAAGGTATTTTGGGACAAGACTATGTCTTGGAGAGCGTGAGCAATGCATGTGCAAATCTCACACTCATGCTTGTTTGTAGAAACAGTCTTGGCATTTCATATTTTCTTTTGACCTGGTTCTCGGTTCCCTGACTACCTACAAGTCTGGTTTATTTTATGTTTACATGATTTAGGCGCCAAATACTCTGTACTAAATTGCAACTCCTGACATGTACTCCTTCATACCTCTAAGGTGTGCAGTAGTTGACAGCAGCAAGATTTTAGAGACAAGACATAGTCTCATCAATTAATTATCTGATTGAAAATTTTAGAATTATTTACAAAGCTTTTCTAAATGTTATAAAATTGATATTAATGACTTTGTATAATTTTTTTAGCAATCATTTTGTTTTTAACAAATGTAACTTTTAAAGGCCATCAAAATCAAAATTTGTCACATATAGTTCTTAGCTATTTTTGAGATCAAGATGAATTTTTTTTGTCTCCAAAATAGCAGAGAACTAAATATTTATGTAAATTGAAGAAATAAAGTTTGGTTGAAATTAAAATTTGTTTACTGATATTTTTGTTGTATGAAATGTAAAACTGTATTCCCAAATTATTAATGAAATATTTGATTTTGATATATATAGTAACTTTCTCTTGCTAGTTGTTGTAGTAAAACTGAAGAAGGATATATTTATTACTAATTGTTCTCTTTGGATGTTATATAATAGTGACAGAAGACAACAATTCTTTCTGTCCAAATCAAACTGCAAGTGAAAAACAATGAGATTAGACTATTATATACTCCAATTGAAAATATTTTCAACTATGGACAGAATGTAGAATTTATTTTTATATAATTGTTAATTCCTTATATTTTCCTATTATTTTATATAATATATTTACCTTTTATATATAATTTCTTCTTTTAATTTAATTTTATATCATAGAATGTAATTTCATAACATTTTAAAAATCATTGATAAATATGTTAGAATTTTGGGGGCAAATTAAATATAGACTTTAGTGCAAAATGTGCACTAATAAGAATTATTCAGTTACAATTTCTTGATTAATTTGAGGGGCTGAGTGGAAAAACAGCATATCCCACATAAGGAAGTTTTTGAGAAAAAGAAGAATTTGTGTTTCAATTCACCAGCATTTTAATGTACAGTGCTTTATTAATGTGGATGTACAGGGTGGGAAAGAAAGTCATTTAACATCCCTGCTACAGAATATAGAATGTACCCAAAGTTAATTTGCTCATGTCAGGAATACATTAGACTGAGGGGGAAACACATATGTGTTACATGCATAGCTGCCATCTTCATGGCAGCCAAATTGAATGTGACTCTGAAACTGGGAAAGGGTTTATGTGACACATCATTTAGGGTCAGAATTTCACAAGGAATTAATTGCTGATTTTATTGATCTACCTGGAATGTTTACAGAGTTATGCATGTTACATGATGTGCTTAATGTACATTCTTTGATTACATGAATGTTAAGTGACTTTCTTTTCCACTCTGTACTGTGCAACCTGTAGGGTATGTAACTGAAACAAAAACTTCTTAGAAGATGAATTGATGATGCACAAATCCAAATTTGTTAGTAACTCATTTTTTTCCAGTTTTGTGAGATATGTCATTTTTCACTCAGACCCTCAGTTAGTATACTCATAAACAATAGTTTGATAATTAAAGAAATAAAATAAAATTTTGAAAACATTTAGGTTAAAAATTACTAATCAAAAGATAAAAATCTTTTGATTATTAAACTGTTGTTTATATTATGAAAAATTATATGTATTTTTTATACATCAATTTTCTTTATTGTGTTTGAATTTATTATTTGCTTCAGTAATCTTTGTGAAATATAATAAAAATATTATTGCAGTTATTTTAAGTTTCAATTGTATGCATTAATAATTTTAAATTTGAAATTATAGTTAATAAACCAAAACTATTTAAAAATATGAAATGTATATAAAAATCAGTCAAAAATAATATCACAAAATGATCAGAAAAGATAAGAAACTATTACAATGGATATTTCATTCTAAAATNAAATATGAAATGTATATAAAAATCAGTCAAAAATAATATCACAAAATGATCAGAAAAGATAAGAAACTATTACAATGGATATTTCATTCTAAAATTTTATCAGTCAATTAAGTTAACCTGTTCTGCATTTATTGAAAAAAATTACATATAAATTAATTTCAGACTGCAGATAAACAGATGTGAATTAAATGGAAGTAACTGCAGGACAGTAATTGAAAATCTATATAAACAGCCTAGTGATTTACATGTAGATCCCTTTCATGGGTTTGTATTCTTTTAAATAACTTCATGAATCTGGAAAACTATATTTTGTAGAAATAAATATTAATATTATCCTTTAAAACTATCAGGAAGTTTTACACCAAAACTTCCAGCTAGATTTTAAAGAAGTTTTTGAATATATTAAAATATATTAAAAAATGTTTTATTAAATTTACTATTTCTAAAATAAATTTAATAAAACATAGATTTTAATATATTGTGCATTTTTATATTTGGTTTTATACTTCTATCTTAAGAGTTTGCTTATGATAAGAAGTTTTAAAATTAAGTTCTCATATTGCATCTGTCTTGACAGCAATTTTTAAATTTCATTACTGTAGTATAGTTTAGCTTTTAGTATGTATAAACATCAACTAATTTTTCCATTTGATATAAATTATAAAAAAAAAGAAGCTAATTAGTTATCTGTATCTTCATCTTCCATAAGTATCTTTTGGTATTAAATATAAAAAAACAAGTAAAATGGCAAAGGTATTTTGGGACAAGACTATGTCTTGGAGAGCGTGAGCAATGCATGTGCAAATCTCACACTCATGCTTGTTTGTAGAAACAGTCTTGGCATTTCATATTTTCTTTTGACCTGGTTCTCGGTTCCCTGACTACCTACAAGTCTGGTTTATTTTATGTTTACATGATTTAGGCGCCAAATACTCTGTACTAAATTGCAACTCCTGACATGTACTCCTTCATACCTCTAAGGTGTGCAGTAGTTGACAGCAGCACGATTTTAGAGACAAGACATAGTCTCATCAATTAATTATCTGATTGAAAATTTTAGAATTATTTACAAAGCTTTTCTAAATGTTATAAAATTGATATTAATGACTTTGTATAATTTTTTTAGCAATCATTTTGTTTTTAACAAATGTAACTTTTAAAGGCCATCAAAATCAAAATTTGTCACATATAGTTCTTAGCTATTTTTGAGATCAAGATGAATTTTTTTTGTCTCCAAAATAGCAGAGAACTAAATATTTATGTAAATTGAAGAAATAAAGTTTGGTTGAAATTAAAATTTGTTTACTGATATTTTTGTTGTATGAAATGTAAAACTGTATTCCCAAATTATTAATGAAATATTTGATTTTGATATATATAGTAACTTTCTCTTGCTAGTTGTTGTAGTAAAACTGAAGAAGGATATATTTATTACTAATTGTTCTCTTTGGATGTTATATAATAGTGACAGAAGACAACAATTCTTTCTGTCCAAATCAAACTGCAAGTGAAAAACAATGAGATTAGACTATTATATACTCCAATTGAAAATATTTTCAACTATGGACAGAATGTAGAATTTATTTTTATATAATTGTTAATTCCTTATATTTTCCTATTATTTTATATAATATATTTACCTTTTATATATAATTTCTTCTTTTAATTTAATTTTATATCATAGAATGTAATTTCATAACATTTTAAAAATCATTGATAAATATGTTAGAATTTTGGGGGCAAATTAAATATAGACTTTAGTGCAAAATGTGCACTAATAAGAATTATTCAGTTACAATTTCTTGATTAATTTGAGGGGCTGAGTGGAAAAACAGCATATCCCACATAAGGAAGTTTTTGAGAAAAAGAAGAATTTGTGTTTCAATTCACCAGCATTTTAATGTACAGTGCTTTATTAATGTGGATGTACAGGGTGGGAAAGAAAGTCATTTAACATCCCTGCTACAGAATATAGAATGTACCCAAAGTTAATTTGCTCATGTCAGGAATACATTAGACTGAGGGGGAAACACATATGTGTTACATGCATAGCTGCCATCTTCATGGCAGCCAAATTGAATGTGACTCTGAAACTGGGAAAGGGTTTATGTGACACATCATTTAGGGTCAGAATTTCACAAGGAATTAATTGCTGATTTTATTGATCTACCTGGAATGTTTACAGAGTTATGCATGTTACATGATGTGCTTAATGTACATTCTTTGATTACATGAATGTTAAGTGACTTTCTTTTCCACTCTGTACTGTGCAACCTGTAGGGTATGTAACTGAAACAAAAACTTCTTAGAAGATGAATTGATGATGCACAAATCCAAATTTGTTAGTAACTCATTTTTTTCCAGTTTTGTGAGATATGTCATTTTTCACTCAGACCCTCAGTTAGTATACTCATAAACAATAGTTTGATAATTAAAGAAATAAAATAAAATTTTGAAAACATTTAGGTTAAAAATTACTAATCAAAAGATAAAAATCTTTTGATTATTAAACTGTTGTTTATATTATGAAAAATTATATGTATTTTTTATACATCAATTTTCTTTATTGTGTTTGAATTTATTATTTGCTTCAGTAATCTTTGTGAAATATAATAAAAATATTATTGCAGTTATTTTAAGTTTCAATTGTATGCATTAATAATTTTAAATTTGAAATTATAGTTAATAAACCAAAACTATTTAAAAATATGAAATGTATATAAAAATCAGTCAAAAATAATATCACAAAATGATCAGAAAAGATAAGAAACTATTACAATGGATATTTCATTCTAAAATNATATAGAGTAGATTTACATGATATATCTCTTAAGCCTGCATTTGAAAATGACATTCAGTTAATCATAAAGGATTATAATTTAGAGACATTTACAATTGATTATATGAATTTTAGAATTTTAATTCCAAATGCTACATTAAATACAATTATAGCTACTTCTCTTGATGGTACTGATAGCATTGATATTCGATATAATTCACACAGTCCACATTTTTCCAATGTAAAAAGTTTAACTTATCATAACAATTTGTTTTATTGGACAACTGGCACAAGCATATATGGAGAAGAATATCATTCTAAAGTAGATAAATATTATCGCAATAAATTTCTTATTAAAGCTAATTATATTTCAAATGTAAAAGTGCTTCATATTGACTCTCAACCATATCCAGGTACTGTGTCATATTTAGAAAATTTAAAATATTATATATTAGCAATTGTTAATTATATTATTTTTCTTACGTTTAGTTCCCTTGAATGAAGTAGAAAATGTTCAAGCACTTTTTCAAGATGAAACAGCCAAAATATTTTGGTCAAAACCAAAACTGTTAAATGATGTTGGTAAGTTTAACATATGTTACTATGCATCCAAAACATTTTATTTTAATAAATAATTGCTATTTTTTTATATTTCTCTACTATATAGGAAAGGGTGCCTGGCAGAAATGGTTCTATGAAATTCATCTTTTTGATCATGTCAAAAATCTCACAATATTTGGAAATAGGACTGCAAATAATATTTACAAAATTTTTACTTTGAGACCAAACACAACCTATTCAATAAAAATAAGAGCATGCAGTCTTGGTGGAAAAGGAGAATGGTCATCTGAATTTGTAGGAAAGACATTAATGCAAAGTACAAAGACAATTACTTTCTGAAATTAAATTTTGAGATTAATAAGAAAATTGACCATTACTTATGATTCCTTATATATACAGTATGTGTATACAAGAACAGATTCTGTACATACACAAAGTAGTCAGTTCATGAAATCTGGCTTAACATTTTAAAAAATTTTAAATTTTATTTTCAAATCCTTCAAACTTTAAAATAAAGAATGCTAATTTAAAACCTAAACTTTTAATTGAGAAACCCTAGTTGAAAAATTTAACTTAGAATATTTTTCTCCAATCAAACAATATTTTAAATGGATTTTATTGAAAAAAGAAAACATTTCAAATTCACTTTTTGATGTTGTTTCTATTTTATAACTTAGAGTTCAAACTAGAATGCTTTATTTTGAAGTTTGAAGAATTCTGAAAATGAAAATGTTTAAAAATGTCGAATATATGTAGATTCTGTTCTTGAACTTTGATGTGTTATTTTTGTAATTATTTATTTTTATTATTTAATATATTTTATTTTCTTTTTACATTTATATTAATAAAATTCTTAAAAGTGAAGTATGTCACTTTTAAGAATTTCTCAGAATCAGTTGTTCTCAAGCTGTTATAGCTTGCAGTGCATATTACCAATGAAAAAATTTTCTGGCATACTTTTTATAAAAAATTTAAAATATGTTAAATATATTTTAAATTATAAATAGCTGTGTACTATGATAACTGCTACTCTATAGGCCTAACCTAGCTCTTAGTTTATCATGGATATAATAAATCTTTGTACAGATCAGTTTTTCTCATTATTAAAAATATACTTTCATAATATTCATTGCATATTTAGCCCTTTGTTGCAATATATCAATGTGCCTGGATGCACTGTTTGAGGACCACTGGTTTCTAGGATGAAAAACAATACCAAAGTTTATTATGTTTGGACAATGTAAATTATTTCCATATTTATAAACTGAACCATATTTATGAAAAATGAAAAAAATAAATATATTTCAAAATTGATTTCTGTTAAAATTTAATTCTGTGAACATTTATTTATTGATATTTAATATTCATATGTGTAATATCAATTTATAACTATTATTAAATAATAAAGTTTAATTCTGCATTTGGCAGTAATTATAAAGCCATTAATATATCATTTCAAAAATTTAATACACTGGAACAATAACAAAAAAAAATTAGAAAATCAGTTCTTTTGCAATCATGCTAATTATTTTATTTAAAGAAAACTTTTTCCAAATGTCATGAAAAATTTTCAAAGCTATAAATCAACAACACAAGTAACTCTTCTGTTTACATAAACTGTCAAATGTTGAAATATGTATGTATTTTAAACATATTTTTCATTTCTGTGTTTTTATTTGTTTCAAATGAAATATGGGGATGTTACTGTAGTGTATGTAAAAATAAATATTTTTAGTAAATTATTTTAATTGATAATTTAATAATTTTAGTATATTTTTAATTATTAAATTAATAATTAGTATACATCTTTATCTCAACACCAGAGAATACTAATAAAAACTCTTCCTAACCTGTTACTGGTGCATTCTCCTTCTTCTATAAAATTGTAACCAACAAAAATAGCTCTTTACTAACGTTTTCGAACCCCAATGACAGTTCTTGTTCAAAAGAACCATCGTTGAGATTCAAAAATACTTGAAGAAGAACCGTTGTTGGGGTTCGAAAATGTTAGTAAAGAGCTATTTTTGTTTGTTACAATTTTATAGAAGGAGAACACACCGGTAACAGGTTAAGAAGAATTTTTTTTTGTTAATAATTAGTATAGGTTGAATATCCCTAATCTGAAATGCTTAGTACCAAGAATGTTTTAGATTTTGAATTTTTCTGGATTTTGGAATACATGATATGATGAAGTTGAAGTGAATTATCACTATCAGGTTCTTTGACACTTTTAGCATTATATAAACAACCCAAAAGAAAATAAGTTGTCATACCTTGCACTTACAATGCTTGACCATTTACTGAATCATGACACTGTATTTTGTGACAGTTGCATACACTTTTATGTCATCTTTCATGACNCAATCATGCTAATTATTTTATTTAAAGAAAACTTTTTCCAAATGTCATGAAAAATTTTCAAAGCTATAAATCAACAACACAAGTAACTCTTCTGTTTACATAAACTGTCAAATGTTGAAATATGTATGTATTTTAAACATATTTTTCATTTCTGTGTTTTTATTTGTTTCAAATGAAATATGGGGATGTTACTGTAGTGTATGTAAAAATAAATATTTTTAGTAAATTATTTTAATTGATAATTTAATAATTTTAGTATATTTTTAATTATTAAATTAATAATTAGTATACATCTTTATCTCAACACCAGAGAATACTAATAAAAACTCTTCCTAACCTGTTACTGGTGCATTCTCCTTCTTCTATAAAATTGTAACCAACAAAAATAGCTCTTTACTAACGTTTTCGAACCCCAATGACAGTTCTTGTTCAAAAGAACCATCGTTGAGATTCAAAAATACTTGAAGAAGAACCGTTGTTGGGGTTCGAAAATGTTAGTAAAGAGCTATTTTTGTTCGTTACAATTTTATAGAAGGAGAACACACCGGTAACAGGTTAAGAAGAATTTTTTTTTGTTAATAATTAGTATAGGTTGAATATCCCTAATCTGAAATGCTTAGTACCAAGAATGTTTTAGATTTTGAATTTTTCTGGATTTTGGAATACATGATATGATGAAGTTGAAGTGAATTATCACTATCAGGTTCTTTGACACTTTTAGCATTATATAAACAACCCAAAAGAAAATAAGTTGTCATACCTTGCACTTACAATGCTTGACCATTTACTGAATCATGACACTGTATTTTGTGACAGTTGCATACACTTTTATGTCATCTTTCATGACACAAACAGTGAGTCATAACTCTAAGTAAAATGCTACTTGCTGCAAATTTAAGTTATGGATTTTGGAATACTTCAGATTTCAGAACTTTGGATTGGGGTACTCAACCTGTAATGGAGTAAAATAATTTTATAGTGGTCAAATAAAATTCAAATTGTTTAGAAACATTTAAAATATTGTTGCAGATAATTCACCAGGTTATCCATATATTATTTGGAGTTCAAGAGAAGGAATTATAAAATCTGATATTATAGGAGAAAATGTAGAACCATTAATTTATAATATAAAATTAGATGAAATTGGCGTAACAGGTTAGTACAATTAAAATTGTAATTATGCTATAACTTACATGTTCAAATATTAAATAATTAATGATTTATAATAATTTAAAAATATATATATATTACACTCACTTAATTACTGCGACAATGATATAGCGTGAAATGGAAGCGCTTATTACGCCATTATTGCAAGAGGTAGCACATA